ACAAACAAACAAACAAACAAACAAACAAGAGTATGGACGTGTCGCTTGCCCTGTTTCTGATTAGTAAAACAGGTATAAAATGGAGGAACAAATATTTACCATGCGGCCAAGGCCAACAACGGCGATGTTGAGTGTTTGGGACATGTTGTAAGATAAGCAAGATGGAAATGGTTAGGAAATATCTGTAATAAGTCGGCTTGAATGAAAATGTTGAGAATTGTGAGAACTTGGAAGGAAGAAAAGCATCTCTTTATACCCTTCTGACTCTTTTCCTCATACTCATTATAGAAGAGTTTATGCTCATCTTGCGAACTATCTCCGAATATCTCGCTCCATAGACATTATCATTTTAAAACTCATGTAAGTGATTACTTGTCTGAGCATGTATCGCCGAAGTCCCGTCGCCGCAACTACCATACTTGGGCCTCATCCGGCTTTAGATACCAAATTAAGTAGTAGCGGTGGCTCAGGCTAGCTTAACTAGGCAGGATCCGGCGATCTCGTTGAAAATTGCCGCATTTGGTTTTATGGCTTCAGCATAGAGGCCGGAATAATACTCCGTCGTATCACCAAAATAGACGTTCAATAGTCTCACGGCCTAGCTTGTGTACCAGCTGAAAGAGGAACGATCATCGGTTCTATTATTGAATGTAAGTCCATTGGCCTATCACCGTAATGGCCGCTCCCAGATGGGACAGGTCGCTTACGGAAGAATAAGCCTGCGAGTTGACTGCATATAAGCTGGATGCATCCTTTCACTATTGGTAAGAGTTGCAATGAGGACGCAGCGTGTCAGAGGCGACCAATAAACGGTGTAAGATGGTTGGCCCAAGCCTTTCCCTCCGAAACTCCGAAAGTGTGTATCAACACAACACGGCATGCAGGAGAGTATCAGCGAATACAACACGACTTCTTCTCTTGAACCAATGAGACTCAATCTGATCTCAGAAAACCCGCTATGATTTATAATACCGTTCTCTCAAAGCTTTAGGCAACGGCCAAGCCTGACAATCCTTAAACATCTGAACCGTTTTCTTGAGTGCCTCTTGTTCCCATGGATCAGTGAAGTAACTCCCATACATCTGAATAGCCAAGATGGCGTTCACGAGACCTGGTTGGATATCGGGATGTTGGACGGCTGTACCACAGACTTGGAGGACTAGGTTTCGCACTTCACCTTCAGCTTTGCGGTATGCGGCGCGTACATCTTCGGCTTGTCTGGGGGAATTAGTGCATGAATAGGAGGAGGTACTGCAGGACTTACGAGAGGAGAGGTGACTCTGCGGTGAGTATCATCTTTGCTATCATCATGTGCTGCATACCCGTTAGGGCGATTGGTGAAGCATACCACATGGTAGGAAAGACTTCTCCTAAGACACGATCTGGTGGCCGATATAGAATGGGCTCGAAACGGCCGGTCACATATTGATCGAGATATTCCTCCTGTTCTTTTAGCTTGTCTAACGATCGAGTCGTTAGCACCTGAACCTCGCGACGAGCTATAAGATTCCTTACGCCATCCACTCTCAGACTTATCGTCAAACAGCCATTTTGTGACTTGGCTCGTATGAAAGACAATTCTGTTCGCTGGCGATATATCTGACCACTCAGCAGGTGGCTCTACCATCTGAGCTGGATACCCTTTCCGAAGTGCATAGTAGACTTCTTGACGTAAAGCAACCCAGTAAGAAGCAATAAGGAGTTCTCGACGGTTAATAAGATCATCCGAGGTGAGACTTCGTAAAACAGCGTTCAAGATAGCGAGGAAATTTACACCTTCGTCAGGGCGAGTATCGAGAGCGGGATCTTCGTCTTCATCATCCAGCTCTTCGAAATGCCGCAGAATCACGGCCGTTGTGACGATTAACTCTCGAGTTTCCCCATCCTGTGTAGTATGAAAGTCTTTCAGGACGGGGATGCACTTAAGCATGTACTCAACTGCAGAATGTGAACTGAGATTCGGTAAAGGTTGGCCGCGATATACGATTCCTCGGGATGTTATATACTTTTCCACGCGGCATAAATGCCGTGCCGACATTGCCAAGATGGCATTGAGCAAGGGGGGATACCGCCGGGCTCTCTCGGGAACGATGAGCTGGTACCGCCGTTGAGGGTCAACTAGATCGAACTGTAAAGTCAGCAGCAGCATTCCGACGTGGTGTTGCTGAACCCACCCAATGTGATAGCTCCTCGATAAAGTATCGTAAGAGACACGCTTCTTGAACACCCTCCAATGGCAAGTCTCGTTGATGCGGTGGTTCAAGGGCATGGAGTAAGCCACCCCAAGAAGGCCCACGCTGAGATAGTGCTAGTGGATGTTGCGAAGGTTGAGTTTCGAATGTTGGTAGGCCTGCAGCTTGCGGATGTCCGCTATGGGAAGGGGATAGACTTGTTGAAACTGTCGAATTGAAATATGTTGAATCCCCCAGCGCAAAGTCAAGGGTCCCACTAGATGTTCCGTCGTTGTTCACAGTCGGGCGGCTTGCTGTGTTTGTCGATGATGGTGAACCTTCATCGGCTAGAGCTATTCTTTGTGTTGCACGTCGCGAACTTGTTTGAAGGCGAACTGTTGAACAATTAGCTATTTATTTAAACATGTCTTATATGGCTGACACTTACACTCCTTGGCACTACTGTTCACCCAATTCTGCGACCCTGAGAACTTGGCATCGTACTTTGCTGAAGAGCCATCTCTGAACTGCCGATTCCGTCCCAACCGGACACAGTCTAGTCCTTTTTTAAGACATCGTGTGCATACAGCATCATCACCAGCGCCTAGGACCTCATGTTAGACTTTACGCTCAGTTCTTCATGCTTTCTGAATTCTGCTCAACTGAAGTGGACACACATTTGAGGTGTTTGCCTAAAATGGCCAATGTGCGTTAGTCATGCGGCTTTCTATTGAGCCTCTTTCTTACTTTTGCATTCTGTACATGGGTTTTTAGGTACGGGCATGTCGATACAGCTTGACTAGTGTCCCTTCTATCTCTAGCATAGAAGAAGAGAGTAGGAATCGCCGAGATCTGACGTGGAGGGCGGGGTTGGCGAATCATCGCCGATACATTCCCGAAACAGTAATCAATCGACGCTAGGTTGAATCTGGAGAGCTCTGACTGCATGAAGGCATCACTCTCTCAAGAAATATAGCATTTATTCATATTAACTACAGCAAAATGGCAATCTTGAGTTATTTCGTGCTCATGGTTCATGAGTATTTATCGCTATCGAGCCTCAGCACTTGTCTGACCTCGTAAGCGCGCAGGCATAGGTTCAAGTCAACGGCCAAAACCCAAGCTGAGATATCACACAGCCTACTTGCATATTGAAACATCCAATCGGACGCCTCAGGACATCGATAAATGTACATCTTGA